TTGAATATTCGAAACATGTTAGTGGGCATGCCATTATTATGGTTTTGCAATAATGAAAATTCCATAAATAATGTGCAGGAATTTGAGGCCAAGTTTATTAACTATTTTTGGGGAGAAAACCAACAGGCTAGTTTCAGGGAGCGGTTGTATTTTGGGAAATTCAATTATGAAAAAAGTACCAACTACAATCTGTACGCAATGCAGTTATTCCAGACAGCACAATATTTAGAACCGGCTATGCGAGAAGAGGAGATTGTCCTATACATTGCCAGGCAATATAACCATAACATGGCAGAAACAATAGCTCTCCACAATATAAAGACGATGGAAAGTTTGACAGGATATCTTCAGAGGATTGAGAGGAGTGTAGGGACGCAGAATCGAAATGGACAAGAGCAAGTGACATATAGGAATAACACAGCAAATAGACAGGGATATGTGAATCGAGGGAATAATTATAGGGAAAGAGAATTTGAGAGACAAAATAGAAGCAGGGATTTTACAAATAGGGGAGAGAATTTGAACAATGTCAGGAGAGATATCGGACGATATAACTGGGAACGTAGACAAGGGAATCCAAACAATGATAGAGAGAATAACTGGAGACAAGGAATGACAGAGGCAATAATTGGAGACAGAACCAGGGAAATTATCCACAGGAGACGAGAAATAGGGAAGTTTACAGAGAAGGGAATCCAAGATATAATAGGGGGGAAAATGAGGAGAGAAGACAGGTGAATGTAGTTAGAACAGAGGAGAATAGGGGGGAAGCAAGTGTTGATGCAGAAGGGAGAAATTTTGCTTAGACCGCTCCTATGTGCATAATATTGTCTACTTATCAAAGTATGAACATCCAAGGGAGTTTATTAGAGATACTGGGGAATTAAATAAAAACAATAACACTAATACTTTAAAGTTTATTGAAGGGTACATACAAGATTCAGTATACAAGTTATTATTATAGATACAGGTTCAGAAGTAACTCTAATCAACAAAAACATTGTAAATAATTTAAATAATGCAATATTATGACACGAATTTGGTATTATAAGATATAAGTTTTGTAAATAGAAGGATAATTAATAAATAAGCATATCTTGAGATAAATTTGATAATTAAATAATTTATTAGGAACAAATGTACAGAATAATGATAAATTTATATAAACAAAAAGGTTGATTTATTTTCAAGTAGATTTATAGGAGTTACAAGTATAAATAAATAAGCAAAGTACTATGGACAAATCGATATTTTGTAGAAATTGGGAAATAGGGAATATTATAATGATAAATAGTATATGCGAAAATAAGATGAAAAATAGAATTATATGAAATATTGAAATATGAAATATAGAGAGTTGTATGTAGAGATGATGAAATGAATATTATATGGGGATATAAAAAGAATAAATAATAATGCGGCAATGAATAAAGATACTGAAATAGTATATGCGGAAATAAATAAATAAATAAAAACATAAAATAAAGAGGGGAACAATTATAAGAATTTCTACGAAATTAGTACGAGAAATAAATAGTACAGGAAAAGAAGTAATGAAATTGGGAAAGTACTTGGAAATTTGATTCTGAAGTTGATATAATTAGTGAAAGATTTGTAGATTTTGTTTGGAGAAGTCTGTATTTTTCATAGAGTAAATTATTAAAAAAAAAAAATATTCAAGAGATATGCTTATTAATAAAAGTCAGTTTATTGTTATGTTAATATTAATAAAATGTTTAAGTTTATCGGTAAGAATTTAGATTTAGTAAGTGCTGATAGTTAGCACTGAACAAAATCCAAATTGGGGGGAAGTTGAAATGATTTCAATAGGTCAAAGAGGATATAACTTAAAGGGATTATTATATGAGTTTGTTGTTCATGAATTTCATGAAGCCATCACAATGTGGGGTCGACTCTGAAATAAAGGGAGAAAAGATTAGTAAATTGCTAAATAAATTAATTTTGACTTACCTGGTATAGTGTTAATAATTTCTGAATAGTATAGTTGCCTAGTGTATAGGTGAATCGTCTAAACCTTAAAAGGAATAAAAAAGAAGAATTCTTAAAAAATTATTTAAACATAGAAATTTTAAAAATAAACGTCAGAAAAATAAACTGTCAAAAGTCTGTGGGAACTAAATTAATAGGGGTTTTGTTAAATAAATTACAATGATGTGGAGATGAAAAGAATAAATTATATTAGTATTGTTAAGTTTTATATCTGAATTTTTTTATAAATTCCCATATTAGATGTGATTAAAGTGCTTATGAGAAATTAATGTGGTTTGACAAATATGTCAAAACAGGACAGTTTTATGGTTGAATAAAATAGAAGACGGAATGAAAAAAGAAAGTGGGTTGCTGTTAGCAACGAATAATTTTGGTGGTTGGTGCTAGCTATGGCGGTTAACAAGGAAGAATAGGTTGTTGGAGGCGACGAAAATTTTGGAGGAAGAGCCCTAAAAAGGTGGAATAGTCCGGGAGTGCTTTAAAATCGTTTAATTATAATTTAGTTTTTCCACATTTTCAAATAGAGATATCCAGAATTTGTTCCAGAGAGTAAGAGAAATTTTGACTTATAAATTATAATTGGAGTGCAGAAATGTCATTTAGATTGAAAAAGTAAAAATTCATGAATTAACTAATTGCGATAGGCCTTAAAATTTGAAATATTAATGATCATTAAAATAAAAATATAATAGTACGTACCTTTAACTTCCGAAGAGAGGATAGATATTCCAGTATCACCGATTATTTTGCGAGTAGTTAGTTTTCTTTAAAAAAAAAAAAAATCAGAACTGTTTGAAAGTGAGTTTGGATAATAATTTTGGGGATCATTGAAATTTTGATTATATTTTAATGCTAGTTATAAGTCAGCGGCATAAAGTGTTCAGTTTTCTTTTCTTTATATTTCATTTAAACACTTTATAAAGTTGCAATAGTCATTTAGATTTGAGGTAATTGTAGAGAGTTTCCACATTTTGTAATCAAATTCTATTTTCACGACACATTAAGGTTTACACGATTCCTATTTTTGTAAATTTTTAAAGGCAACCCAAGTTGCAGACGAATTTTATTGTTTATATTAAATTTGTTCAATATTAATAAATAACGTGCTTCATTTGGGTTAATTTATCAAAAATATAAAGTAAATTTTGGTTTAATTTCTTTTTGAACTCTACCAGGAGACTACAGAGTTGACGTCACACAGTGACAGATTGCTTAGAACAAATAATTGAGCTAGCCGAGGTATAGTATATTAACAACGAACTACATACTTTTAAAATTCACTTCAATTCAATTAAAATTATATTTATAACAATAAAACATAAAAATAATAAAAACAAAACAATTACAATACACATTGAACGAAATAAATTCGGAACATACGAAATATTATGTATTTCGGCTCAATTCCGCTGTAGGTGGTTGGCCAAAAAAAGGTTGTCAAATAAATATATTATAAAAATCCAATACTTCAGCGGGCTGCTGGATTCTGAAATCATAAAAATTGAAAGCCTCACATAAATCTACAATTTTATTATGCTGTCAAACCACTTATCGCTTCCTTAAACAAGCCCTTCTTTGAGCGGTGCTGCCAACCTCATTCCTCTAGATGTTTCTCAAATAAGGTGATAAATATTTACAGGAAAGAAAGGAAATAACTACAAACCATTAAGTTTATTTTTCTTATTAGTCTGTTGTAGTAAATTGGTAAATAAAATGAAAATTATAGGCAAATATGCGATTTATTTAAAGATACGAAGAAGATACTACTACTACTATCGGTTTACAGCGTTGTCCGACGCCTTCCGACTCCTAACCGCCATCTTCTCTATTCAACCATAGGTCTGAAGGGATTTCTCTTTCCTCTAGTTCTTTTTCAATTCCCTCTCTCCAGCTTCTTCTCGGTCTTCCTCTTTTCCTTCTCCCTGGTGGTGTCTACGTCAAAATCTGTTTTGGAATCCTGTTATCTGGCATTCTCTGTACGAAGAAGATATAACTCTCAAAAAGATCCGCAAATCGGATTATTACACGGCGATTGGCATTATTGTTACGGAATAAACATTGTTGCGAGACAGATAGTTGAACGATATTTTATACAATGTCTATCCCCAGGTATGTATTTATTTTTGTCCAAGTTATATATTGGTCCATTATTTCAAATGCAGTTCAAACAGACATATATTAAATTGTATGATCCGTTTTACATTCGTTCAATCTTTATATGACTTACCAAAATGGAAAACGGGACACAGACATTAACGAACTGACAAATAAAAGTTGATATCTGATATCTCATTGTTTACTGTCATTAGTATATAATTATTTTTATATGGGCGTATTATTGATGTTTTCGAAAACATGGTAACAGTAAGCCTGGTAACAGTAAGGTGGAGATATATTATGACTTTAAGACCTTCTTATGATGTTATATTATTATTGTTTAAATCAGATTGAAATATATTTTATTTAGGTTTTGTGTACCTTTTTTGTCATTTATTTTGATGTTTTTAAAATCAAATTTATGCTTCTTCCCGCTTTCATGTTTTGTGAGCGCAATGACGTTGTTTTTGTCATATTTGTGAGAACGAATTCTGGATTGAAGCAGTTGACTGGTTTGACCGATATAGACACCTTCACAGTTAATACATGGTATCTCGTAAACAACATGTGATTTTTTACGTTTTGAAGTTTGTATTTTTAGTTTTGTGAAATATTTACAAAGAGGATGTTGCCTTTGTGGGCCAAATATAAATATATATTTATATATTTGATTTTTAACACCATTGGATTTATTTTTATGGGATTATTTGAAGTCGAAAGTCTATACTAACAAACCTACAACAACCCATGCATTGAAGGACTGATGTGATATTTCATTTTATCTCCTATTTACTTTATGATTCAATGACAAAATTACAATAATTCTTGCAAATCTTGCATAAAATCATTTTTTTAAACTAAATAATTGTAACAAGCTATATTTTCAATTTTAGGATAATGGACCAAGATGAGGTAATTAAGCAGTTGTTATCAAAAACGGGATGGACTTGCGACGACTTGATACAGCGTTTGAATACATTTAAAAGTGCAACCGTTATTGCCGAAAACCAAGTTTTATCACCACAGTTCTGCAATGCTACCGAAACAGCAAGCACATCTTCCAGTATGTTAAAACACGATAAGGATCATATTGGGACTGAAGATGTTTCTGAATTACATAGTTTTACCAAAGAAATACAATCATTAAATTCCGATGATAACATTGAATTTTTAAATAAGAAGGATGCAGGCAACGAAGAAGCTCAGGTAAATATTGTAAATAGCAATATCACACATCAAGGCAATATTGGTCAGGATCAAGGTACAAAGAATAACAGGTATGATATGGCGCAGGCCACTAACCCTACTGTCGACGTAGTAATGAGAGTTGCCGTCACTGTAATACATTTGTTTATTGACGTCTTTAATAAGCTTGTAGAAGATTTTATAGTGTTTTTGTGAGAGTTAAGTTGATTTGTAGGCATTTTAGTAAAAAAGAAGTATTATTAAGAATATATTCAACTCTCTATGCGAGTTTTTTGAGTGATAATGGCTTTGTAGGTGTACCTCTACTTTATATGGACAAGATTTTGGTCTTTTAGAAATTGTAAATAAGGTATGAGGGGTTTTGCTAGGAATAGTTTACAACGTTAACATAAAATGCGTTGTGCATCAGACAGTTGTTTAAGTTATAATCAGACAAAAGGTGCCGATAAATCTGTTAGGTTTTATAGTTTTCCCAAGGACTCGGTAGTGGAAAAACTGTGGGTTATTGCTTGTTGCCATAAAGACAAATTGAATACTAAAACCTCAAGGATTTGTTCCAAACACTTTAAGCCGTAAGACTTTAAAAGAAATTCGAATCAAAGAAACTACCTAAACTGAAGGGTGATGCGGTTCCTTCTCTTCATCTACCAAAAACAAAAAGCAATCTGCATTTCAGAATTAAGAAATTAAACCTAAAACTTAAAGGAGATATAAGAAATAAAAGAAAATTAATAAAAATTGTAACTTACAACCTTGTGTTTGATTTGTTTTCCGATTTTAGTTCAGATAATTAATGATAAATTATTTTCTTCTGTTTACGTTTAGACGAAGACTTTTTTCTCCTCGATACTGGCGCCAAATAAGACAATACAATTAAAAGCTAGCTCGTAAAATTTACGAAGATTACCTTTCTAGGAGTAAAAAGCGAAAAACACAAAAAAACTTACAAATTTATTTTAGATTTATTTTGTTTTCACTGTATTATTTTTTTCAATCAAAATAATAAAACACCTATATTTTAATAAATCCGGAATAGTTCAATAGAAACTCTATTAATCCATTAAAATGACTCTTTATTGCTAATTAAAAATTAATTGTGTTCTGATTGCTAACATTCTTACGGGAAATATTTAAAATCCCTCTCATTGTGACGTAATGCGCGAACTCGTCCCAATTTCTCTCTCGGGAGTATCATACCTGTTAGTATTTGTACCATGGGTCAGGATTATGTATCTGATGTATGTTTTTTAAAGGTTGCAGATAGTCCAAAACTTAATATTGCAACAATTGAAGTTAACAAAGGATGTCAGGTTGTAGCAAAAAATGGTGAAACTGATTCAATAAAGCGACATGAAGACAACAAGACAATCAAAAACTTGGGCAATACTGTATGTTTACCCCACACATCAAGTTTAGAAACAAATTATGTTTCTAAAGGAAACGATTTTGCTGCAGGTTTTAAATCTTCTGTGAATCATACAAACACTATAACTTACACAAAGAAAATTTTAGATAAAAACAAAAAAATTGTAATCAAATCTATTAAAACAGGTACAAATTTAAATAACGCAGACGTTAAGAATGCACATGGTGCATTAGTTAACTCATCTAACTTATTTAGCGTTGCTACAGAAGCCAATATTCATAATATTTCTTCTTCTATGTCTACAACAACAGATAATAATTTTTTATACGAAGATGTGTCTACAAAAAATGATAAAATACAATTTAAAAAAGCTGATTCAGCGATACTCAAGTGTCATCCTAAAAAAAAAAGTTTCCTTAAAATTACCGAAGCAAGTTATGTTAATAATAACTCTCCTACCTTGAAATGTTATAAAAATAACAAAAGCTCCCTAAATGGCTCTGTTCTTTTAAAATATAAAGATTTGGTTAGTTCAGAAATGACGAAAAATATTGATTTACCTGAAAAAGAAAGAAAACAGGAATTGCCTAAGGTTAAACTTACTAATTTAGACACTAATGATGATAGTAAAAGTGTGGTTGACGGCATTAACTACACTACCAAGCTCGAAACCGCTAGTGAACCTTTAAATGTTAAATCTAAAACAGATAAGGCGTTAAATATTGTTATGAAAGTTAATGAAATGAAAAATTCCAAAACAATAAGAGATATTTTAAACGTTACAGAAAGATCATTGACGAACGACCAGTGTGAAAATATAAATAAAAACGTAATTCTAGAAGACGCCAATGAACTATACATCCAAACTAATGAAGTAGATTTCATAATTTCTGGTGTTCAAGGAGGAGTTGAACTAGAAGCTACAAAAATTGCAAGTTACAATTGCAAGACTATACAAGAAGATAAAAAAAAATCGATTTGTGATGAAATCATGGAAAAGGTTCAAAAACAAAAAAATACGACAAATTTCAATACATTAAATGTAATAAAAAATGAACCTAATACAAACACAAGTTTAAATTTGAAAGAAAACAGAAAATTATCGATGGAAATCTCTCAATCATCATTTAGCATTGAAAACTCTAATATGGCTGAAAATTCTGGGTTTGGTTGTATTAAACTAAATAATGATTTGGCAGCTAATTCTAAATTTAATACCAATCATGAAGTACCTAAATTAATTGCCCAACAAAAAGATGCAAAAAAAATAGTTGAAAAGTCATATTTTGCTAAAAAAAAAACAAAATTAAATAAATACATAGACACACCATCAATCAAATATACTTCAATGGTTAAACCAAAAACTGTAGCTGAAAAAAGAAGATTATTAGAACTAGCTAAGAGAAACGAACTTCAAATTACAGAAAAGACGAAACCTAAATGGAAACAACCTACTAATTTCAAATATGTAGAAGTTAAAAAAGAACTCTTAGATCCACAGAAGAAAAGTCAACTTAAAATTACAGAAACGCCGAAAGCTAATCGTAAACAATCTCAGAGTATTAAAGATGGAACAGATAAAAAGGAACTGAAACATGCTCGACGTGCCGGTTATGTATTATACACAAATCGTAAAATTTTTGTAAATAGTGCGACACCTAATAAATGTGTAGCTAACATTAATTGTATAAAAAGAGATGCAAAATCACCTACTCACCGAAAAAAGTTGTCTCTATTAAATCAAAGATATAAAAGAAGCAAACGACTTTTATATCGACCTGGACCTTTATCCAAAAAAGAACTGTTACAATTAACTGGTTCGAACTTGTGGAAAACACAACTGTTAAAACTGCCAAAAATAACCCTAGAAGTTTTTCCACAACAAGGAAAACGATTCTGTGATACGGTATTACACAGATTGAATACTATTGTAGGTGGAGAAATGGATAGTGCAAAGATTGAATTTGCGTTATCGGCACTCAAATCAAAGGCTGATAATCAATCGAACAGTCTCCAATCTATTAAATTTTCATTAACGTACCAGAATAAAGTTGAAAATATTTTAGTAAGAAAGAAAAAGTTTATTTCACAAGTTGAACCGATAAATAAAAGAAATTCTTTCAGTTTAACCGTTGATCACAAATCCGTAGCTTCTGTAATTGAAGATTTAATAAAGTACGTTGAAATAAAAGAAATTGCTTCCACACTAATTAAAGAAGACGAAATCAAAGTAAAAGATGAGATTGCACCAGAAGCTCAGTTGGAATTGCCAATAGAGAATACTTTATGTAATAAACGACGAAAACGTACTAAAGTTGAACGCGAATTATTAAGACTTAATCACAAAGTCGTCAATGTAGAACTAAAAAATGACAAAGAAGACGTTTATATAGTTTGTAATAAACCATACTGCAAATTAGGGTGTATATGTAATAGTTTAAAATACGACTTTTTGAGTGATCATTGCCAAAAACTTGCTTGCATGTTTAATTGCAGATGTCCCAAACATAAGTCATTCAGGTACGATGAACTCAATTTACATTCTGGAACAAATTTACTCTCAAAAGACACTGTTACTAGAATCGAAGACGAGGCTAAAAAACATTTAGCCAAAGTTGAAAGAGAATTTACACAAACTGTTATCCATACCAATGATAAAACGATTCTTATTGGTGTTGGAGATCGCGCTAAAAGTAGGAGAGCTGCAAAAGTACCAGCAAAATTTTTAGATTTTGTTGCTTCAGAAGAAAAACCAGAAAATGTATTACAAAAATGTTATGTTAGCTTAGAAAAATTGGATCTTTCTGAGGTAATTCAACTTTGTTTAACTCATTGTATGTATAATTGTCAATGTGAGGGTTTAGTCATACCGGAACAAAAAAAGAAAGTAAATTAATTACTTCTATAAACACTCAGCTCTTACCTGAAAATGGTAAAAAAGAAAAGAAATATAAGAAACATGAAGATGAAATAGATCACAGATATCGTATTGCCGTTGATTTAAATGAAAATGGTAGTTTAAATGGAACAGAAGAGGACGATAATTGGATTTCGGATAAAAACCTACATTTAAATCAGAAATTAAAGAACCTAGTCGAATTCTTCAACGAGGAAGTGCAAGGTGTAGACCAATAGAAGCAAAATATAAAAGAGTTGAGAAATATAATAAAACTATACATAAGAATGATTTTAAATTTAAAGTAACCAAGTTAGAGGAAGATAAACTACAGGCATTTATAGATAAAAACTTGCCTTTGTCTGATAGCCAATTATTAAAACATTCTATTATTACGGACAAGTATATGTCTTTTAATTTGGCATTTAAAAAAAAAACAACCCATGAATTTCACGAAGATAGCTCCAATAGTATCTTTAAAACATTGGATGAGGGAGAATGTTTTCAGAGACCTAATGAACAAACGATGAAGGGCCAAAAAAATATTAATGTAACTCCTGTCTTCGATGGAGAAATTATTATAGACAATAGTAATATAGATCTTCTGAAGAAAATGGGTTCTAAAGATTATGCTCGTTTGATTCCATGGAAAAGCTTAATAGAGGGTTTTAGAAACTCATCTATAAATATTTGGTGCACAGTGAAACAACCTGTAAAATTACTAATTAATAAATCTGGAAAAACTTGCCCCAAAAACTTCGTAAACATTTTATCGGTTTCAGAGAATAGCCCGATAATTACGTGGATTAAAAGAAATAAATTACCTAAGCACTATCAAGAAGATTCATTATTGTTTCTTCTAAACGAAACTAAAGGTAATTATGAAATATGTGGTATCTGTACAAAAAATATAACAAGCTCATCAAATGAGATTTCTTCCGACCAAAATGACGTTGGTGAAGAATATCAAAAACCAGAAACACTGTATCACAAAGATCTTCAGGGTACTATAAAGTCATTTTTATTGAGCAAAAGACAATATAATATCCAACATTTGCTACCTATCGAATCTACTGATAGTATCCAACCGATGAAGGTAGCTCTCCCAGAAATATTTACCTTTTGTAAATGGCAGACAATATTTTTAAATTCTGATTTTACGTTCTTATTTTTTAATAAGATACCATATTCTATTAGATATACTGATTTAATATTAATAGCAGATTATGCAAAAGAGAATAAATGTACAGTCTATGTTAGAAATGATGAACTGCGAAAGGAATACAATCATAAATTGTTTGGTATTTACTTTGTTGAAACTTTTTGTGATCGTATATTTATCGGACCATATTTTAATTATGATGTTGATAACGATGTCGAAACCCTAAGGTACGTAAATAAATCTCTCATTTCATCGGAATCTTTTAACTTAATGAGTGGAAAAGAAAATTCTAAGAGCTGTTATTGGTTAAAGGAAGCACCCAAGAACAAAATTTTTGAACTGAATCAGTCATCTGAAATGCGTTATCAAGAGATAGAACCTGTAATCGCTAAAAAAACTAACGAATCTTGTACGGATGCAGAGACCACGATCGACTTGACTTCAGATGATGATGAATCTAAAACTAAATCTGATATATCCCAAAATTCTACTAAGGTTTTTAATGATTACTCCCTAGGCATGGATAAAAATAATTTAGTAAAAATTATCGAGGCTTCTCCAAAAAATCCCGAAGATTACAATAGATATATTGTAACAAATATACCTCATTTTGGTTATCTAGGAGCATTTAAAAATGTTAATGGAGAAATTGATGTTTCCTGGCCATTTGAGAACAAGCTATTGAGATTTGGTAATGAAAATTCTGCGACTTCGTTCTTACAAAGGTAAGTGCATTTTTAACTTTTAGTTTTTTACATAGTTAATCTCAATGAAATTGATTAAACTATTCATGTTATTATTAATATTGATAATTTCTGATTTTCCCGAGTATTCAATCTTCCCGACGCGACGGTCATCCCAACCAACTGTTTTCAAGAACAGTTCGTTCCCGTTATATAACTCAGCAGGAGCGGGCTTTAGTATTAGTATTGGCAATTCTACTTATAAGTGCGAATTGTTTACTAAAGCAATCATCATTAATGTAATTAGTAATTGTGATATTTTTAATTAGGGGAGTTTTGAGTTTAAATAAAGTTAACTAAACCACGTGCTGCTTTGCGTTTTAAGTTCAAAGCTACCATACATATGCGTGCCGGGAGAAGCCACGCATATGCGTGCGTACTCAAACCATTCGCGCTCAGAGCAATCGTTGAAATTAGAAATCACCACATATGTATGCGTGCTCAAGCCGCTCCATCTATTCGTGAAAAAATGTTTGATGAGCTGCTTATAGTTAGTGCCGCGTTTGTAGTTATTAGTTCATTAAAAAAGAAAAAACAAACAAAAAATAGGCGATCGTGGACGACGCATTTATTTAAAAGAAGAAAGTTACTAGAAAAGTCACCAAATACATCTTTTTTTGTTGATTATCTCGGCTTTGCGGTAATCGAGTAATCAATATCGGACAACCTTACACGACTAATAGTTTCTGCCCTTCAGGGACGTTTTTTAAAAAATAATTATTTACTTTACAAATGCGAGAACTTTATTACAATATTAAAATCGGACTTCACAGTACAAAGATTCAAATCAGACTGAATTATAATTAATAAAATAAAATACATTACACATAGGGCAGTCCAACGAGCTGTCAAATTAAATCCAAAATGGTGTCTGGAAGTCAAACAAACTATTGAGTCGTGTTGAAAGTTAATAGTATTTTCGATTAATTATATAAATTGTGAGTTAAATTATCAGTTCAGTGATTGGAAAACGGACCAAAATGTTTAAGCTTAGCACTTTTTTAAAAAAACTTCTGTTGTGAAACTGAAAAAATTAGTTTAAAAGGTTTGTTTACATAGTCTTTAAATTCAATTCAATCTGATTTTGTGAACAATTTGCTGCCAGGGAATGTGATTATGGCTAACAGAAGATTCCTAAACAAATAATTTGTGAAATTATTTCATGCGTCAGTAAAAAATTCCTGAATTTAGGAAGAAAAAAACCCAAATGCATCCAGTTAACTTGGAAGAAACCAAATCGATCGAACATCTAAGAATTCATGTAGAAGAAATTATTGGAATGATCCGAATAAATTTAGAATAACTCAGTAAATTATTCCGATGACATTAATAAATGGTAGGCGAAGAACAATCTTTACTAGACCAAATAGTATTCTTGTGTTGTGCACCTATTATATGCATATAATATAAATATATGTCCTACAATTATTCCTTTCCTTAATATATGCTTTTAGTTTGCCATTATTAGTTATACTCTCAACTTATATGTACATTCAGTTCTGTTAATATAATTTGATTCTTGTTTTTTCCTTATTTTTTTTAAACTTAAAGTGTAATGTAAGCATATTATTCTCTCTCATTTTCAAAGTATCATAATAAAATTGTACTTTTATTATTTTTGAAATTTGTAATTGATGAAGAAAGAAGTATTTTGCTCTAAAATTTGAAACCTTTTTAAAAGACACTCACTGAATGGAAACAGTTGCACATTATTATATTGATATTATTGCTTAACATATGATAATAAATTTCTATAACATATTAATTTTGATACATTTGTAATAAAAAAAATTTATTTGGGCATATATGTTCGAATACAAAATGCTAAAAAATAAAGATAACACCAACATTAAAAAAATAAATTGAGAAACAAATTTACTATATTTACGTTTTATTGATAATTTAATTATTTATTTTAAAAAATTATTAATATAATATTTACAAACAAAAATTTACTTGACACAGTAAAAATTAAAGATTCCATATCTAAGGAGAACAAGCTTCACAAAACCATAAAGTATCCTCGTAAGTCAGTACCTCTAAGAGATTCACACACTTAAAGTGAAACCAAGAAATACTGCAGTTTTCATTTTATCATTGGTTGGCCATCATCAATGCCTTTACATGTAGACCATGTTAAGTTTGCTAAAATATTGCAAAGTAACTCAGGAATTATAAGTTTTTATGAGAAAAACTTGCTTTTTTCATGTAAAATTTTCAAAATTCTTCGGTACACATAATTTTTTCATGATATAATTCAGTTGGAGACCATATTACAAAATGACAATAGTAAACTTGGAGAGAGCCATTTGAATTTGATAGTGATATTTATGTTGTCTATTTAACCAAACTTCTCCATCAGGATTTCTAATAAGACATAATGAAGGTAAGTTTATGAACTCTGCCATTGACATATATTTTAATAAATAAGAACATTTCACTTCTAAGCTGTTAAAGCAGAATGAAGAAGGCATCTACGTAATTTACCATCCTATGTTGTAAATAAGTTAATGAGTTAAGTTTTGTAGTTTAGACAAGTATAAATGTCAATTTTGATGGAAATAAAATACCAATAAGTCACAGTCATTATTTTATTACAAGGAAGTTTTTTCTAGTTAGACGATCTAATATTATTAACAATATTAACATGGTAGCAGATCGTACAGTACCTAAATGGTATTGCTAGAAAATACAAAAATTAAGTAAGAATTGAAGAGAAATTTTTAACTGTCTGGAAAGTGTCATCTCCATAAAGTAATAAAGAGCATTTTAAATTAAATCCAGAGTAAAATGGATCCAGTAAGGTGCAAATAGGATTACTTGAAGATAAAGAGAGTTGGACCACTTGGAAATACAAAATCTCTATTCTTCTGAGAAATGTAAAAGTGCGATGGACGTCCTTGATGGTAGATTAACTTTTCCTAAGTCGTTACTCGAAGGAGCAACACAAGAAGAAAAATGCAAGTATGAAAAAGATGTTGCATTTTTTAATCAAACAGATAGTACTGTCTTATTAGTTCTTACAATAAATATGACTCAAAGCACATTAGAAAAAGTCATGAGATTTTCGACCGCTAGGGAAGTTTGGTTGGAGCTGCATCGTTTGTTATGATGGTAATGCAACAGATAAAACCTATGATATCTGTATGCAATGTTTTAGTTATACTAGACAATTAGATGACGATATTGCTACTCATTCATCAAAACTTAAAAACCTTTGGAACAATTTGCAAAGCGAAATTTTCAAAGATAAAGCAGTTGCTGGAAATAATTGTAAGTGCGACTTGCCAGATATTTTGCTTATTTGTAAAATATTAGAAACTCTACCACTGAATATTTCTCATTTAAGTCTAGTTTTATTCTGGTATCAAATAAAGACAGAACAATAGATAACTTGACAAATCAGCTATGCTCTTATGAAAAAGCATTAACAAATAAAAATGAGAGCAAGCAAGAAGTTTTATATACAGTGAATAAGAGTAAAGCACATAAATATAGTTATTATTGCAATTACTGTAAGCAAAAAGGTCATAAAGTGAAGCAATGCGATAAATGGAAAGCCGATGGAAGGCCTCCTAACCACAAAATTCGAAAAAAAACATACAAATACTAAAGCTAAAGAAACTCAGATGTCCTTAGTGGCTGTATCATCGAATGTGTTGAATTGCGAAGCAGATTTTAAAAAATTGGTATGTTGATAATGGAGCGACTAATCACATAACAAATCAACAAAGTGTATTCCAATCGTATGAACCGTTTAGCGAAGAGCAAACAATAACAACAGCTAATGGATATGCAGTTGCGGCATTAGGACAGGGTACCATCAAATTACAATCTTTTGTAAAAGGAAAGAAGAAAGAGTTTTTATTGACCAACGTATGGTATGTTCCCAATATCAGGAAAAATCTTTCTCAACTTTGTCTGCTCAGGACAAACATCCAGAAAGTGAATTTATCCACACACTGAGTGCTGCTATTTTAATATTTATAAAGAAACAATTATTGTTGGATCTAGATGTAAGTCTGGTGGACTATATAAACTGAAGATGCAGGCAATCAAACCTGAAAAATGTGAGTGTCAGTATGGTTACTTCTAAAGAAAATATATTGCAACTTTACCACGAAAGACTGAGTCATCAAAGCAAAAGACATGTTAAAGATGTAATTAAACAAGAATTTAACATAGATGTGAAGCTGGATAGTGAATTATGTGAGGGCTGCGTTTATGGAAAAGCTTCCGTGAAAAAGTTTGGCATAAGAAAAAGAGCAGAAACTCTAGGAGAACTGATCCATTCGGATGTTTGTGGGCCTTTCCAGGTATCAAAATCCGGTTTTAAAATATTATGTTTTATTTAAAGATGATTTTAGCAGATACCGATTTGTATATTTTTTAAAGCAAAAGTCAGAAGTTGCTGATAAATTAGATATTGTTTTAAAAGAAATAAAAGCTGCAGGATATGGTGTGAAAGAATTTCTGTCAGATCATGGTGGAGAATTTGATAATCATCGAGAAGCAAATATTTTAAACAAATATGGAATAAAACAAAGATTGGTGATGCCGTACACACCACAACAAAATGGCTGTTCAGAACGTGATAACAGAACGATTGTCGAATGCGCAAGATCTTTAATGCATGCAAGAGAAGGTATCTTTGATCAAATATTTTGGGCTGAATTAGTAAACACAGCTACATATATCTTAAACAGATCTGGTATGTCCAGTATTCCTGATAAATCACCACATGAAATATGGTTTAACAAGAAGCCTGAACTTAAACATTTAAGAGTAATCGGCAGTACTTGTTATGCTCACGTTCCTAAAGTTTGCAGGAGAAAATTGGATAAGGAATCTATTAAAGGTATACTCGTGGGTTATGAAAATGATGATGGATATAGGATTTGGTCAGAAGAACAGCATAGACTAATACTTTCACGAGATGTTATTTTTAATGAATTTGAAACTCTCGGTGTGCTAAAAGAATCCAAACAGTTTCAAAGTTTGCAACCTACAGTAGATGTATTGGATTTTGTTCAAAATAATTCTG